AAATCTTCATTGCTCTTCATAGTTGCAGTTTTGGGTGTCAAACTTGCTTTTAGAGAACAAGTGAGTGTTTGTCTTAAAATAATATAATTTTATGTCAAGTGAGAGCTACATTTTTTTAATCATCAAAATATGTCAAATTTCCTAAAACTTGATATTTGATTTTCAACAAATGTTGAACAAGGATAGTGTTAAAGTTTTTTTTAACTTATACATGTATGTGTTGCAAAAAGCAACATGTCTTTACCATACCTGAACAATAACCTGGTGCGAGCTCTAAAAGAAATTAACAATTTGGTGTCACTGTTACAGGTGAAATTTGTGTCCCATATGCTAGTTTATCATGTTGCTACTCTAAAAAGGGTCATGTTACAGAAAAATGGTTTTGTTTTTGACAAAATATAGACCCTAGACTGCAAAACCATGTGAAGCTGAATTTAATTTGGTTATTTTGAAAATTTGACCCTAATGTCACACACTGGCCTCCACATTTATGTAAACACCATATACAAACAATCCAGGAAATATAAATTTATTGTGACCTGGCATCATTACATCTTGCAAGGTGACAGAAGAAAGTCCTGAATAGTGCCCTCTACCCCGCCTCACCCGGCCGCAGCATTACATGACAAAAAACAATGAAACAAGCCCATTGGTTTTACTTTAAACATGCCTTAGACCTTACTCCATATTTTTTTATACAATTTCCTTAAAACATAAGTAGTGACTATCAAAGGTTATTAATATCACTCAATCTGAAAATAAAAAGAAAACAAAAATCCCCACTTGCATTATTCTCAATTAGGCCCTCAAAAAAAAGTCATGCGTCAATTTTGATCTATTGCATCATTTCTTAAAAATTTTCCAAAGTAGCTACAACAGCGCCTTTTATTGCCGCACCGCCTCAATTTTTTAGCACCAACACAAGGGCACCAAGGCAAATGATGAAACACCATATGAGAACTCAAACAAGCAAAACAGGACCACTTTGTCTGCACAATCCAAGCTTGGGAAAAAAATTGCAAAGAATATTTTTTGAAACGCATCACTACATCAATTACAGAACTCTGGTCTGACCAGATAGAGACCCACTATTTTTTTTGGCTGTGCGCAATTCTGTCTCATGTTGGATGAATGCCCCATACATGTATATTATATTGAGAGTCACAAATTTTCGGACTACATGTAGGTATGAACCAAATAGGCTACTCCTCAATTCCAACTAGGATAACTGAGATTACAACTTGAAATAAAAAGGAATCGAACCTAAAAAGAAACAAGCATTAGGATCTGAACCAAAGACTTTTCAATTCATTCAAGGATAACTAAGGCTACACCTTGGAACAGAAGAGGAATTGAACCAAGGTCAAGCCCATACAGGACTCAAACTTGCTACTTACTTTATCATCAATGGTGTCAATCTTAGTCACCACAGCTCCGTCAATCAGTAGAGGTTGATCCATGTCTCAATGGTGTGCCTGGTCCACTACTTCATTACCACCCAAATAACTCCCCAACCAAGAGAACTGTTTGGTTGATTTTTATCAGCTGTTTGAGCAAAAATAACAGTAATCATAAGAAAATGAGACATTTTCTGTCTTTGTGCAGTTCGCTCTTGAAGGCATTATGTTCAAAAATTACCAAAATTCAAAAAGGTGTCATTACATTGAGAGAAGTCTGCTTAAGGTTGACAACATCATTTTTTAGAAATAAAAAAATCCTTGATTCTAATTTGATCGAAACAAAACAGGGGCCCTACACTATACACGATTGCCAAAATGATGATACTGATAGACGACATAAATCTGGGACTGCATGCACTGAGAATTAACATTCCCAATTGTGTTAGGAAAAATAACTCAGCAATTTTTCTTGACTCTCATTCATGTCCATAGACTTTATACACACACACCCACACACCCACACACTATCGAAGAAGTGGCATCAGCCATCAGGTTGCAACATTTGTTTCCAGTGAGGCAAACACTGACATTTCATTGTTAACTACTTGCATTGGGAGAGTTGGTTGACTTCCCCCTGCACCACCGTCATGACATTGGCTCAACCAACAACAGAAGATAATCAAGCCCACGTGAAGGTTTGCTGGCGATCGTGAATTGTAGACCCCCTGTTTTGTTTTTATCAAATAAGAGTCAAAATGTTTTTTATTGCGCAAAAATCACCTTTATCAAAAGCAGACGATCGCCAGTTTGCTAGACATGCCAGAAGTCAACCATGTCAACACGAGTCATCTAGATCTACATCTAGGCCCTACATGTACGCAGGTACTCAGCAAAGTCCACTTGATGTTAACGCTGAATATAAGTGATTGTCATGACTACGCCTGCGAACAGCCAAGTAATGTTGACAATGATAATGCAAGTGACTTTTTGAAATTATATCACCGCACCCACAGATTCTGTGTTTTTCAGTGGCCGAGAGTGTGCATCACATAGTATTTGCTATTTTCTGTCTACATGTACATGGCTAAAAGGACTATGGCACCTTCCATTTTAATACTGACTACATTGAGTGGCATAATCAAACTAGCCTCCTAGACCTGTTTTATAATGCCACTCGAAGCAGTCAATATGCAAGACTACAAATTATAAGCATAGCTTGTAAAGTACTCTGATAGTAAAACAGATCTAAGATGGTAGAATCAAGTTAAGGGGTTACGGGTAAAGTGCTTTCTGTCAATTTTTTTTTGATCATTTCATTTTTGCATATTTACCATAATAAATGAACTTGGATAAGTGTATTAAGTATAATCTATTGCAGTACCCTTTAAAATAACTTCCTGTGATATGGCACGTTTGGCTTAACCAGTTCACATCAGACAACGTGTTATACACGCAAGGTTTTGCGGTAATCGGAATGGATGATGGATAAACACGCAACAAGCGAGGCCCGAAATGTCTGTCAGTGGCCCGCTTGCAGCGAGCTACCCGTAGATGACAGCCTGAAGCCGTCTGGCATCCAGATTCATGAAAACAATCCCAAGTCTTGGTCTGGTCAATGTCAAAATAGTCCAGCACGAACTGGTTAAAACAATCTGCTGGGTCATATGAAATATTTACCTTTTAGACGTCATAGTTGGAAATGATGGCGTTGAACAGCGTGTACAAGGCATTCAACAAGTTAACAACCTGGAAAGTTAAGCGCAAGATGTAAAGGGTAACTCTGGTGACACTATTGGTTTGCAATTATTTTTGGTGCTACTGTAATTGGCGATTTGGCCCCTGTTGGATCCGGTTGAAATAAATAAATAAATAAATAATCTGAGTAGACAATTTGATCAAATTTGAGTGCATTTTACGTTTTGAACTTAAGCCACCTTTGAGAATATGATTGAAAAGTACTAGGCCCTACATGCCCTAGGTGCATGTATATCTAGGCTGATTATAAAGATTACGTGCACAAACAGTAGATTGTCCCTTTTTGACAACTTTTGAGAGCCCTAGTTGGAGAGACGCACTGCGTGAATGTACTGGTACGTGCCCTTTCGTGTAATTATGTCATCATGCCAATGTTTGTGTTGGACATTCCTCACTAAATATTTGCATAATTTATATAACTGTAGCAAAATGCTTCCGTCTTCAAGTTAAATTTATTATCATTGCACTTCCGGTTACACTGGAAGTAAAGGTCAAATGGAAAGTATTCACTTTCTTAGAGTTTAGGCACTCTCCTGAAGACGGTCAGAGCATACTGACCGGAACGTCGAGTTTATACCTCTGGTTCTTTTCAGAACCATTCTCTTAGTTGAGAAATTATTCGCACATGGTGTTTCCGCAAACCTTTCATTATTTAAAGGTCAAATGGTATGCGCCCTGGAACAAAATATATTGCCAGTGGCAATGTCTGAAACAACAAAAAATGAGAATACTACTCTGTTCCGTTATAAAGTTATAGCCTAATTAAAAGTAAGCTCTCAAATGTTCATGTTAACCCGCTTGTAATTTGATACCAGGTGATGTCATGATGACATCACAATTTCTTTTACATCTTCGGACCAGGGTTCAAATTCCATCTTGGTTTTATCGTCATCACGTGAACAGTTTGGAAAATATGTGGTTCGTTTTGATTTTGAGGCTTCTGTCTGTAATTTAAATTCACCCAACTTTGACCTTCCAGTAGACCCGGAAGTAAAGGCCAAGCGAGTTTACGAACGTTTAGGAGAAAACCCACGGAGAAATATTGCCCAGAAAAAAAAACCCAAAGAATAATTCTTACCATTTTAAAAAGGTGATCGGGTCATACCCGATCAAAAAGTCCCCAAAAAATTTCAATGTGATGAATTCCTGCTTTTGACAGATTTTCCACCTTTTTCTGTTTTAGTTTTATTGTGCTCAGCATAAAAATTGGGCAAGAAAGATCTTTTGCTGTTAATCCCTCAACCGTTTTAAAGTAAAGTATGATTTTCTCTTCAAATATAAAAAAGTCTTACTTTGCAGTACTTCGAGTCTGTTCCATCCCTGTGAAGCACCAGCAAGGTAGTGATCGATGTACAAGGGAGCTCTGGTCTGAGTCTGTTCCATCCCTGTGAAGCACCAGCAAGGCGGTGAAGTACTTAGTGTGGTCCTTCTCTTGGGCCGCATAGTGCTTCTCAAGAGAGCTCTGGTCTGAGTCCGTACCATCCCTGTGAAGTATCAGCAAGGTATACATGCAGTGATGTACTTGGTGCGGTCCTTCTCCAGGGCTGTATAGTGCTTCTCAAGGGAGCTCTGGTCTGAGTCTGTTCCATCCCTGTGAAGCACCAGCAAGGTAGTGATGTACTTGGTGCGGTCCTTCTCCTGGGCCGTATAGTGCTTCTCAAGGGAGCTCTGGTCTGAGTCTGTTCCATCCCTGTGAAGCATCAGCAAGGTAGTATTGTACTTGGTGCGGTCCTTCTCCTGGGCCGTACAGTGCTTCTCAAGAGAGCTCTGGTCTGAGTCTGTTCTAGCCGTGAGAAGCAGTCCTTCTCCTGGGCCTTATAGTGCTTCTATAGTGCTTCTCAAGAGAGCTCTCTGATGTGAAGTGAGCTGGTAGATCTGCCATCACCTGGTCAAGAAATTTGAATATTGTCAATTTGGGAAAAAATGTTTGATACTGATTGAGCGATTAACTTGTATTCATTATTAGCTATCCTGCAAATTCGAGTGGAACAAGGTAAAAAAAAAAATAGGTTAACCAGTTTGCATCGGATAACGTGTATACAAACAAAGATTTTGCGGTATTCGTAGCGGATGCCAGATGAACAAGAATGATAGCTGAGTCCTATAAATACAGATGTCAAATTGGTTCAGAGAACTCTTGGAGTTTTTAAGAATAAATTATTGTTTCACTGAAGAAGAAGTGTCTTTGCTCCCTTATTAGTCCCATCCTTGTAGATAGGATAGGATGCCTGGTTATATATCTTTGATACAAACGAATCCGGGAAATATAAATTTATAGTGACTTGGCATCATTACATCTTGCAAGGTGACAAAAGAAAGTCCTGAATAGCGCCCTCTACGCCACCTCACCCGGCCGCAGCATTACATGACAAAAACAATGAAAAAAGCCCATTGGTTTTACTTTAAACATGCCTTAGACCTTACTCCATATTTTTTATACAATTTCCTTAAAAAAAGTTAAAACATAAGTAGTAACTATCAAAGGTTATTAATATCACTCAATCTGAAAATAAAAAGAAAACAAAAATCCCCCACTTACATTATTGTCCATTCAGCCATAAAAAATCGTTGCGCGTCAATTTTGATCTGTTAAGTCAATTTCTTTTTTTCTTTAAAATTTTCTGTAGCTACAACAGTGCCCTTTAGTGCTGCACCACCTCAAATATTTAGCACTAAGGAGCACAAGGGCACCAAGGCAAATGATAAGGGAACCAAGTCAAATTATGTAACACCATATGAGAACTCAAACAAACAAAGCAGTACCACTTTGCTATTTTTTCCCAAGCTTGGATGGTACAGACAAAGAATATTTTCTTAAACGCATCACTGGTTTGAATACAATTTAATACCAAATTAGTGACTCTCAACAGTATAGTTATGAACTCACAGTCTGTTTGTTTGATGACGGAATTTTTGTTACAACTTCCACATGGTAGTAGATTAAAAGGCGACTACAAAATACTTCAGTCTTTGTTAAAAAAAAAAAAAATAGGTGACTTGATCAAAGTTAGTTATTGTACAAGTGTGATGAGGCCTAAACCTTTTTTTTCCTGAATCTTTTTCTTAAAGTTGCTAAATGAAAGCTGTAATCGCGAACAACAAATCTGTTGGTGAACACACAATTGTGTGTTAATTTGAATTTGTTGTTAGGTTTTTCAAATAGACCTACAAACGCTGTAGTATAATAGCTGATTATGCTTTTTACCTCTTTACAAAAAATTGCTGATCCAAATGCGTTGCAGATAATGTTGGGATAATATTCTGGTTGTTTACAAGTTTTGTTTGGGTGGCTTGATTTGGTCGATCTTGTAGCTTGGATCATGTCCCTCGAGCCAGTACGTCAGGCTTTCACCTTTGCCCTGAAATAAAAGAAAGAAAATAGATAAGAGATTGATTGAAACAGTTATCTCATGTTTCCTTTGAAATATGATGGACTTAAGAATTTGCAGCAGTGAAAATTGAAGGAAGGGTAGATCATTTGTCATTTGTGATTTTTTTTCCATTTAAAGCAACAAAAGTGCTCAAAATCTAAAGATGGGTGCTTAACAACTACCCCAAATGAAGTTAAAGATATGTGAATGCTGTGTTTTCAGAGGAAACAATATTCTAGGATCTCAATTTCTATTCAAAAGTTGCCGAGCCACGTTTGTTCTCATTCAGCTGATTGAAGCTTTGCAATGTTGCACACTAAACCGCTGAATGAGTCATGTCAACACTTGTGCACACCCATTCACAGATTAGTCCGATCACAAACCAACTACTAACACTATTTAGAAATGGCCTTCTTTTATTGTGTTCTTCACAATGACAGCATGTAATGCCAGAGAGAATAATTTCACAGGCAGTCCGACTAGCTGTACTAAGGGTTGTTTTTTATTTTTATTGTAATTTTTGTACTTGGGTATCGATCCTTTGCAGCTGGACTCTGATGTTCTCATAGAGCTATATTAAAGTACAATACTTGTGATGTACTTGTGACTAGACTTGTGATGTACTTGTGACTAGACTTGTGATGTACTTGTGACTAGACTTGTGAAATACTTGTGACTGGACTTGTGATGTACTTGTGACTAGACTTGTGATTTACTTGTGACTGGACTTGTGATATACTTGTGACTGGACTTGTGATTCACTTGTGACTGGACTTGTGATGTACTTGTGACTGGACTTGTGATGTACTTGCCACCAGACTTGTGATGAACTTGTGACTGGACTTGTGATATACTTGTGACTGGACTTGTGATTCACTTGTGACTGGACTTGTGATGTACTTGTGACTGGACTTGTGATGTACTTGCCGCCAGACTTGTGATGAACTTGTGACTGGACTTGTGATATACTTGTGACTGGACTTGTGATTTACTTGTGACTAAACTTGTGATGTACTTGGACTCGACTTGTGATGTACCTGTGACTGGACTTGTGATGTACCTGTGACTGGACTTGTGATGTACTTGTGACTATAGACTTGTAATATACTTGTGGCTGGACTTGTGATGTACTTGTGACTGGACTTGTGATGTACTTGTGACTGGACTTGTGATGTATTTGCCACCAGACTTGCGATGTACTTGTGAACAGACTAGTGATGTTCTTGTGACTGGGCTTATGATGCACTTGTGACTAAACTTGTGACGTTCTTGTGACTGGACTTGTGATGTACCTGTGACTGGACTTGTGATGTACCTGTGACTGGACTTGTGATGTACTTGTGACTAGACTTGTGATGTACCTGTGACTATAGACTTGTAATATACTTGTGGCTGGACTTGTGATGTACCTGTGACTACACTTGTGACGTACTTGTGACTAGACTTGTGATGTTCTTGTGACTGGACTTGTGATGTACCTGTGACTGGACTTGTGATGTACCTATGACTAGAGTTGTAATGTACTTGTGACTAGACTTGTAATATACTTGTGGCTGGACTTGTGATGTACTTGTGACTGGACTTGTGATGTACTTGTGACTGGACTTGTGATGTATTTGCCACCAGACTTGTGATGTACCTGTGACTATAGACTTGTAATATACTTGTGGCTGGACTTGTGATGTACCTGTGACTACACTTGTGACGTACTTGTGACTAGACTTGTGATGTTCTTGTGACTGGACTTGTGATGTACCTGTGACTGGACTTGTGATGTACTTGTGACTAGACTTGTGATGTACCTGTGACTATAGACTTGTAATATACTTGTGGCTGGACTTGTGATGTACCTGTGACTACACTTGTGACGTACTTGTGACTAGACTTGTGATGTTCTTGTGACTGGACTTGTGATGTACCTGTGACTGGACTTGTGATGTACCTATGACTAGAGTTGTAATGTACTTGTGACTAGACTTGTAATGTACTTGTGGCTGGACTTGTGATGTACTTGTGACTGGACTGGTGATGTACTTGTGACTGGGCTTATGATGCATGTGTGACTAGACTTTTGATGTACTTGTGACTAGACTTATGATGTACTTGTGAATGGACTTGTGATGTACTTGTGACTAGACTTGTGTTATACTTGTGACTGGACTTGTGACTGGATTTGTGACTGGACTTGTGACTGGACATGTGACTGGACTTGTAATGTACTTGTGACTGAAATTGTAATGTGCTTGTGACTAGACTAATGATGTACTTGTGACTGGACTTGTAATGTACTTGTGAAGTACCTTTGACTGGACTTGTGATGTGACTTGTGATGTACTTGTGGCAGCACCTTCTCGTTTTTGCTCTGCGAAAATTCCATTTTTTTGCGTGTTACGTCTCGTTTTGTCGTATTGTGCCTTTGTCATATGTTGTGAGATAATTAGTGAGTTTTTAAGACATTGCAATACAGCAAACTGTTGGAAGTTTTGGATGTGACTGTGTCGACATTTGAGCAAGTCACGTTGCACCACCATGATACGCTACACCGCACAACAGTTACTCAGCATTGGAACCATATGATGAAACAGACTGGAGCAGTAGGCAGATTACCAGCGAAAGTGTGGTCTACGCTGAAGTTGCATGGTCTATGCAATAAATATATCAAGCGGGGTACCAGGGCTGGAATTACTCGCCAACGCCCCATCAGAGTCGTGGTTAACTGTAGAAATATGCGGCCTCGAAAGCAACAGGCGGCTGTCTGCGTGAGTAACTTGGTGGCAATTAAAACCAATAAACTTAATATACCTACCCTGATGAATGCGAACGCCAGAACTTTGATTCCAAAACTTGATGAGTTAAGTGTAACACTAACTGAACATAAAGTCGATGTGTGTTGCATAACAGAATCATGGTGTCCTAACAGTGTTCCTGATAGCGTCCTGTTGTTAGATCACTATCACCCCCCCCCCCCCCCCAATAAGACATAACAGAGACCATACATCAGGTGGAGGGATTGTGTGCTATGTACATGCCAACATTCCATTCTCGGTGCTCAGGAATTTAGCTGAGGAGAACGTCGAGTCTGTCTGGCTTAAATTGCAGCCCCAACGTCTTCCGCGGCAGTTTAATGCCATTGTGTTTGGAGCTATTTATCAGCCCCATAACGTCAAAGACAAGCATAATCATATATATATGCTGGAGCACATATACACCTCGCTATAGACAGTGTTATGAGCTTGCACCCATCTGCGGGAATTATTTTAACAGGTGACTTTAACCGAATGCCAGATGCTATCCTCAAACGCAACTACAAATTGAAGCAAATCGTTAAAGGGGCAACACGAAACAATGCGCGCCTGGACCTGATATACACTAACATGAGTGATGTGTACTATGAACCAACAATTGAACCAGCGCTTGGTCTGTCTGATCATCAAGTGGTGGTTTGTCAATCCAAGCCGTCGTTTGCAATGCAACCTGCCAAAAAACATTCACGGGTTATTAGACGCTTTCTCCGACGTGCAAAAGCAGCATTCAAAGATGAGTTGCAGGAGGTGGACTGGACTCCATTGTACCAGTGTATCCCTTGCTCAGATAAATATGACCAGTTTGAAACAACCATCGTATCCCTTGTAGACCGGCACTTCCAGTGGAAGCAAGTCACCAGAGTAGAAAGTGAAAAACCTTGGGTCACAGATCGTTTTAGGGATTTGATAAAAAAGAGACAGCGTGCTTGGCACGGAGGACACCAGCCCCAGTATAGGTACTACAGAAACAAAGTGAACAGGTTGAGGAAGTCGATTCGGAAACAGTACTTTCAGGCAAAAGTTGATCTTCTGGACCTTAAACAAAGCAGAAATTGGTGGAACGAAGTAAATTCACTCAAAGGTGAGAAACACGACTATAACCATTGAAAAACCTTGTCGACAATGTTGCGCATGGTGATCAGGAAATTTGCTGAATTGGTGAATTCTTTCTTTGCATCCATCTCATCCGATCTAAGCACCAGAGTCTCACAGTGAAGATTTAATTCCTACCAAGTACGTCCTCACAAGTTCGGCGGTTGAGAAAGCACTGAAGTCGGTGAGAACACACAAGGCACCTGGTCCTGATCAGATTCCCAATTGGATCTTGAAAGATCACGCATCCATGTTGGCAAGACCCGTCTGCTCCATCTTTAATGCTTTGGTGGCCCAAGCAACTCTACCAAGCATCTGGAAGGCTGCTGATGTTATCGCCATCTCAAAAACAACTCCACCTGCCTCAGTAGAGAATGACTTGCGTCCAATCTCCCTAACCCCCGTGCTAGTGAAGATTCTTGAGGGATTCGTGTTTAAATGGCTATGGGAGCAGTACCAGCCGCAGTTAGATCCAGTCCAATTTGGTAACGTCCCGGGCTCATCAACTACTTGCGCTCTCATTGACCTGTTGCACAACTGGTACTCTGCCACAGATCAAGCCAAGAACATGGTGCGTGTCCTTTTCCTCGACTACAGCAAGGCATTTCATAGGATCAACCATGTGATTCTCATCGATAAACTGAAATCTCTTCATGTTGATCAAGTCATCGTCAACTGGGTTACAGAGTTTCTGCGACACAGAATGCAACGTGTTAAGATCGGCACCTGTAAATCGCAGTGGACTGTCATCAATGGTGGAGTCCCACAGGGAACAAAACTTGGGCCATTGCTTTTCATCATGATGATTGGAGATCTTCAACCCTCCCTGCCCACAGTCAAATATGCTGATGATACAACACTGTGTGAAATAGTAACATCGCCAGATGAATCCAAAATGCAGGAGTCGGTACAGGAGGTGATTGATTGGTCCTCACATAATGACATGCGGATTAATCCAAATAAAACTAAAGAAATGGTTATCAGTTTCCGTAAACATGTGCCGTTAATTCCAAGCATAAACATTGATGATCATAACATTGATCGTGTGAAACAAATGAAACTGTTAGGGTTGAACATCAGTGATGATTTACGATGGGAAACTCATGTTAATGCTGTGTATACGAAAGCTGCTCAGAGACTTTATTTGTTAGTGCAACTTCGTAGGGCAGGTCTTAACCAGCTGGACCTCTGCAAATACTATTTTGCTTGTATTAGATCCATACTTGATTATGCATGCCAGGTTTACCATAGCAGCTTAACTAAGGAACAGTCCAATTTGTTGGAATCCATTCAACGAAGAGCTTTGAGAATTATTATCCCTGGTAAGTCTTATGCAAAGGCAATGGAGCAGGTAGATATTCAAAGTCTATATGCCCGCGCAGGAAGTCACTGTGTGAGCAGTTATTCGCTGACATGTCAAATCCTAACCATAAGCTGAATCATTTGCTCGAAAAACACCAGCCTGTATCGTATGCATTAAGGAACCAAAGACAGTTCAGCCTGCCTTTCTGTAAAACGAACAGACTAAAGAATAGTTGCATTCCCTGGTGTCTTTATAATTTACAGTCCTAATTGTTAGTCACTTTTTAGCAATGTTAAGTTGATGCTGATGTTGATATTAATGACTATTTTAGGTTGAAGTGTTTTTATATCGTTTGAAGTTACCTGTGAATGCATGTGTGTCTAAATGATTTAAGTATGTATTATAACTGAAATGTTTTGTTTTTAAATTTAAATACTTGTCATGACCGGTGGAGCTCTGTTAGTCATGTTCTAGGTTTGTGAAAGTATGTTTCCAGTAACTTGGTTACTTTTAGGAGCTTTTAATGTTTATAATGTGCATTGCTATTTAAAAGGTTTAATATTTCAAACTCAAATGTAATTTAAATAGCTTTCAAAATGTTTTTAATCCAACCATTTTAGATGCTTTGGTTGCTAATAATAATAATAATAATAATAATGTACTTGTGACTGGACTTATGATGCACTTGTGACTAGACTTGTGATGTACTTGTGACTGGACTTGTGATGTACTTGTGACTGGACTTGTGATGTATTTGTGATTTATCAATCTTAAGTATCTCGGCCACAAGCAAAGACAATGATCTTACCTGAGTGAATACCGATGCGGAGTTTGAGTTTCTCATCTTGTCAGTTTGTGTGGCATGATCAACTATTAACGCCCTCCAGTAACCATTAGCGCAAACACACGTGTAGCCAGACCCTTGGGGGAAGCATATTATTGTTTTTCTAGTTATTGACTCGGTTACAAAGCTAGAGCTTGTAGGGACTCAAACACATTGCTGTGGTATGGCTGACTGTCATGTGAAGACACAACAGTTTCAAGGCATATAGGATCATTTGCATTTACCCCAAAGTAACCTACTGAATTATAACCAAAAAGCTGACGTGGATTAAAGATTGTACTGGTACTAAACACCCTGTGAAATTATTCCATCTGGCTCGCTGTCATTTAGAAGAAATCAACAAATGTAGGTGATTTCTAATGATCAGTCAAGTGACTGATCTCGGGATATAACTGAAGAGTACTTTTAATGAAATCATGTTTCTTGATTAAAGGTTGTGTATTTTTTTATGTTTTGCTTAAACTGTAATATCCACTGAGCTGAAACTTCAACCTGTTAGGTTTTAAAAACTCTTCTTTGGATTTTGAGTGGTGTTATTATTGGAAACGAACAAAATGCATGAAAAGCAAATGATCCTATTTGCCTTTAATGCATAACCAGAATAAACTAAGTCATGCATACTAGAAAAACAAAATTTGTCCCTTGGTTAAAAAAAATAAATACCATCTCAAATCTGGTGATATTTACCTGTTTTACAGCGAGGTCCGTAGTATCCTACAACACACATACAGGAATAACCACTGCCTGCTACTGAACATGCTCCATCATTGTAGCATGGGTTGGGAGAACACGGATCTGGTGAAACAAAAGGGACAAACAAAATCTGAAGTATTAGTACGGCCTCAATCAAAAATACGTTCAAGTTCTGAATAATAATCTAAGACATGGACAAACTGGGGAACCGTGAATATTGGGATGGGTAGCTCAGTTGGTAGAGCACTGGAATGGTTATCCGCAGGTCGCAGGTTCAAACCCCTCTCCAGTCAATTTCTTTCTTCAACTTTCTTCAAACAAAATGGACTACGTACCTTCTCCGCCACCAATCTCCATCAGCAAAACATCAAAACCTCCCAGCGTCACTTTCTCATTAGTCACAAACTGCATCGTCATTCCGTTGCCATCCGCCTCCACGTCCTCTGGGACCACGCCCCCAGAGTGGGCCAACACCCTCGCATCGGCGGTCGTGGTGTGTCCCTCGAAGATGCTCAAGACATCGTTGGGGGCTTCGGTGGAAAAGGTCAAGAAGTGGGCTCGGATGGTTGTGTTTGGGGCTGAGGTGATGGACCATGTTGTGATGAGGTTGTCTGGGTAGTTGGAGGGGTGGTAGGGGGACTTGAGAGACATGGTGCCCCCCGATGGAATGGTCACTTCACCACCCCACGTCGCTTCTGGTATCAAAAAAATAAACCGAAAATTGAAATAAGATTTAAGCTAACAACACAGTAACCACTTGATACTTTTGACATTTTCCAAGATTTGTCTCATTGTCCTCATAAAAGATTACTTTGCTGCTGTTACATCTCTTGTACCTCCAGCTTTCTCCCCACCATAGTTATCACCATATTCGTCACTATAGTTGGCATTGCTGACAGATTCTGTATCTTTCAACCTTGACTCTCTACCTCACCGTCTGTATCACCCTATTTGTCACTGCATACCTCTGTACCACTGGCATCAATGACCCGCAATGGATGGTGTACAAACAATGAAAGTTTATGAGTGCAATGGTAAGAATAATTTCATTCGATGACAGACAGAATGTTCCATTCCATGAGGTGAATTTGTTTATACAACGCTGCGCCACTGAGAGTGACTGTGTAATGGAACTTCTATTTTTGCTGTGCGGCCGGGCCGTGCACTAGGACAAATAATTCAATGTCATGTGATCAGCGTCCTACCAATCAGATGACAGGGATTTATTCAGGTGTTGTTTAACACGTCCTGTATCTGTTTCAACTTTCCCTCTGCCCAACTATGTAGTTTACCCTATTTGGCAATTGGTACCTACCTAATTCACGTGTGCCGCTGAATGCAGACAGACACTTGCAGAAAAACTCAAACATTTGTTGCTGGCACGTTCCACCGTTCTGACACGGATCGCTGCTACACAGATCCTCAATAATAGCTGTCAAACACAAACAAATATTTACAATTATACATCAGGTAGAATATTCACTGATGCAAAACTTCAAATGGTGCTTAATAAAAGTCCACTGTATATATTTTGTAATATTTCTAAAATAAGCTTATTGTGACATTTTGTTGCAAAAGAGAGAAGTTAGTGTTTGATAATTTGTGAGGTGTTCTGGCAAAATGAGACAGAACTGGGCAGAGGTTGAAATGAGGGTTTGCAGGTATTAGGAAAGAGAATAAAAAGCTCCTTACAATACTGTTATTTGCACTTCAAACGGACATTCTGTTGACAGTTTTTGAAATAGATATTTTATCTTCATCTTAGTTTTTGCTGTAACATTTCAACGAATTCATTTAAATATGTGATTAATTTCTAAACATGATCATTTTCGTTTTCTTGGAGCCAGCAATAAAGTGATGATGAGTAAACAAGGCATATACAGTGGCGCACCCAGGATTTGGTGGGGGGGGGGGCTCACAGTTTCTGTTTTTTTGAAATTAAATTTTTTCAAAAAATTTTGCCCAAAATTTTGGGCCGCAGAAACAAAATTGGTGTTTTTTTGTGTGGGAACTGACTATTTTGACGTTGGTGGCGCCACTTACACCTCTATTATACTACTCGAAAATAGGCCACATACATATCACCAAGGTCAAATCGAGGAACTAAAAAAAAAATTACCAGAAAAAAAAATGGGACAACCTCTGGGGGGGCTCAAGCCCCCCGAGCGCCTCCCCCCCCCCCCCCCATTGGGTGCGCCACTGGGCATATATCTTTTATGACAAACCTTCCAGATCGTTACAGTCGATCCAAAACCAGATGCTTAGGTTCTCCCGAAGGAATTCAGTTTCCTCCTGAGACTGTGGCATGACCAACACGCTTCCCATCTTGATGCACTCCTGTTTTGCCTCAGCCCATGGTAGATTCTCGCTGAGTTGCTTGTAGCATGTGTCACCCCACTGGCTCCAAGCAGGAGGACACGCCCCTCTAATGGAGGCCCCACACCTCTCATTACCACCAGTGCATCTGATCATAAGAAAAAGGCTTATCAAGCCACAGGTGTAACGTTTAGGCAACATCATTTAAACTGTTACCAGACTGGTTCCGAGTGTAGACCCATCCTCCCACACCCTCAATTGCCCCTAAGATGCCAATATCCCAATTAGTCAGCTGGCTTAGACCCAATTTTGGACAAGATCGTGACCGACTGGTCCAAAGCACCAAACTTGGCAGATATATTGTTATAGCCTAAGAGAAGATATTTAGAAGGGGTGATACCTGAACTTCTTTTGGGAAGGGTGCCTTATTTGCATAAATCGTTAATCCCTACCGTGTAATATATTTACTCCCATATTTGACTATTTTTTTTTTTTGAAAAGTATATTTTGGTGATTCCACTTACACATCCTTTCTTCAATAACATTTTCTAAAGCATTTTAGACTGACTGGATAATTATGAGGACACAGTAACGATCCAAAAGGCTTCTATTATACTCTAAAGTTGCGCACATTAACCTTGTCTCCAGATATCATCAAGTAATCTTGCCAAACTTTAGAATTGATGAGCTTCAAATTCACCAAGTTGCTTACTGGCACAGTTACTCGATTAAAACGTCAAATCATGTGAACAATGATAACATTGTGATATTTAGCCCAGAAAACAAAAACTGGGAACTTGATCAAGTCCCTCACGTTAGGCAGGCTTCGCCTAATGTTTAGCCCAATTTACGGACGCCTCATTTTTGTTTCTGTGGGCTAAATATCAAGATGATATTATTTTTCACATAATTTCCCATTTATTTTTGTTAGGGTAACTGTGTCTGTAGGTATCTTTGTGAATTTGAAGCTCATCAATACTGAGGTTTGGCAAGACTACTTGATGGTACTGTATGTGAGGGAAAAGGAAATGCGCGCAACTTTAGGGTATAATGGTAGCCATTTTGGAACTTTATTACGTCCTCATAATCTTTAAGTCTCAGATATGCTTTAGAAAATGTTATTTAAGTAAGGATATGTAAGTCGAATGCCCAAAATATACTTTTCAAAAAATAAAAAAATAAAGATCTACCCAAATATGGATATAAATATATTACACGGAAGGGATTAACGCTTTATGCAAATTAGGCACCCTATCCAAACGAATTTCAGTTGTCACCCCTTCTAATTATCTTCTCTAGGACCATAAGAATCTATCTGCCAAGTTTGGTGCTTTGGACCAGTCGGTCACGATTCCAACTGTATGCCACCTGACTAAATTGTCTTCACCGCTATGGTCATAGCCTCGTGGTATATATATTAAACGCTGCATCACAAAAAAGAATTTCGTACTCGGCGAGTATAATGCAGCTCATTTCTTAATAGCTTTTCCCGAGTTGCCTATTATTTCTGGCCTTCACAAGCGCCATCCATGCGTAGCTTAAATTTTCATCAAATTTGTATTTACCGTAGTTATCATGACAACGATCTGTGTACAGTTGCCAAAAAAAAAATAAATTAAACCAGGAGGTAGATGATTTATTGGCAAATTCTGTAATTGACTGCAGTCCTGTGGCTTCTATGAATAGAGTACGCAGCTTCACAAAACAGATTCTGTTTATCGTGTGGTTTTTTTTCTTTTAGGGCAGTGAGCATGTTTTCCGGAACGTAGTCGGTTGTTACCCTATGTGTTATTTTGTAAAGTTTGTTGAACATGAATTTTTAAGATTTTGTCCGCGATTTGGTGGGCAAATTGGCACTAGGTGGCGGAGTTTTGAGTTGGAGAATGTGGACTTATTGATTTGCCCGCGATTTGGGCTTCAAATTGGCTGTAGCTGGCGGAGTTTTTAATTAGTTCAAGAATGTGTTTTTATAATTTTGTCCGTGATTTTGGGGGACAAATTGGCACTAGCTGGCGGAGTTTTGATTTGAAGAACGGGTGGATTTCTAGATTTCTAGTTGGTAAAGTGTGCGGGTAAGATGCCCAAACAAAATAGTAAAACAGACGAACTTCAAATTCATTAAAACGGGTATTTCTTCCTATGCAAAGGGAATGTGTTGCTTTTATTCCAGAAACATTGACTTTCATTCGGATTGTATTTGTCGTGTGTGAAAGACTTTATTGTTTCGGTCAATTTTTTTTATATTAGTTGATGATTTCTCATGAAATTAAATTTCAAAATATAAAATATTATGAGAAATCACCTGGTATTTCTCGGGTTACTGCTAGATAATTTTTTCCCAATTGTTTTAATGCCCGAGTGTTTTATTTTTCAATGAACGTTGACTTTCATTCGGATTGTATTTTTCGGCGTAAACATCGTATCTCCCAAAGTTACAGCAGATTGACAATCTAGAAATGGATAAATAGCTCAAATTCCCCCAGACTATCAATGTGTATTCCAAGTAGGTCATGTTGCATTGCATTTCAATGAAGGATTTTAAAACAGTTGCCGAACTAAAGTTTTTCCATGCAGTACTCACTAGACGCCCCAGCATCGCATTCAATGTCAGACTTTTTATTTTCACTTTTCCATCCGTGGCGTTTTCTGAGCTGAAATTGCATCTATTTGGAAGGAATTATTACATTATAAGGCTATTCGTGAATTGTCTTTTGCACGGGACCAGCTTTTCCCATAAAAAAAAGAGGAATTGGAGGCAGATACGAACATGAAAAAAAGCTCCTCCATGCAGACATTTCTCGGCGGTTGTGCACTGTACCCCGACTTGTTTACGTGAAAAACGATACTGGCCTTCGGGACGCCCGTCTGTTACAACTGATAATGTAATAACCAACGGATAACGTATCAACAGCCGATAATGTCACATGTTATACATGCATGAGTAGGAATTTTGTCACCAACAAAACCGAGGGTTTGTGCCAATGATTACCAAAAAGACACAGAAGGCCATAGACAGGGATCCAATTAGTTAATAATTGGTGGGATAATAAAGTAGCAATTACGAGCAAAGTATGCAATTACTCCAAGGTTCCACTCTTTGTTAAGTAATTTGGTATGTGCTCGGCGAGGTGTTTATCATTTATAATAAAATGGTGGCTAATTCCTTTCGATGGGAAACTGTTTAACATTGCATTAGTGTAGACTTGATGACAAGTCGTTACATAGTACGGTGTTAAACAATGAAGACGTATTAAAGGGCCACTAAGTCCTGAAATCCCCGACAATTTCTTGTTATGAATTGTTTACTTATCCTATTTCATTGCAAACATCTGGTTGAAAGGAAACCAACCTTAAATGTTCTATCCAGCAAAACGTATTATTGAATTCAGTCGTCGTTTGTATTTGGTGTGGCTATGGCAACGATGATTACTGTAGCCATGGTAACGGACTGAAACACTGTTGACAAGTGCAACACGTTGCTCATATTGCTGTTCCATAGCGCGGAGTTGTCATTTCGAGCCAGCCAGTGATTCTCGCCGTTTCACAGCCAAGTCCGGTCGCAGAAATATTGACACTTTGTAAACTTGAGTGACTGAAAAGCGAACGTTTCGAATTGTCCGCTCATCATGGCGTTTATGTCCGGATTGTTTGCCATTGAGGTTGCCATTTTATCGATGAGGGCTCTCTCTGAGTCAGATTTCTGCCCCTCTCGATCCCCTGTCAAATCCTCTTGCCCGCCAGAGTGGCAATTGTGGGGGAGTGCGTGCTATCACCTCACTTCCTCAAAGTATAATTGGGATGATGCCAAGACAGCTTGCCAAGACGTGGGAGGCAAGATGGCCGCTCCTCGCTCGCTCGAGGAACTGAACTTCATGGCAGAACTGGCACGAAAGGTGGACAGTCAATACAGGGTCTGGATTGCTTGCAATGACAAAGAGGTTGAAGGAACTTGGGAGTGTGACGGTCAGGAAGGAGGCGAGCCCTTCTTGGTATGGGGTGATGGGCAACCAAATAGTTGGAGAGGCAATCAAGATTGTGCTCAAATAACCGCACATTATAATGACAGGATGGATGATACATACTGTTCGAAACTGTTCAGGGCTTTTTGTGTTCGCCATGCAGCTTGTGCTCATCTCTCAACCCAACCCCGTCAATACTGCGTCTCTACCGACACTCACGGCCGCATTCTCAACTCAACCTGCCTCCTCGACCACAGCATCCGGGAGTTTATCACCAAGGGCGTGGTCGACTGTGGCTCGGCCTGCGCCACGGAGCCCGGATGTCGCTCCTTCAACATCAAGAAAACCGAAGACGGGAAGAAAATATGCCAGCTGAATAACAGCACAAGCTCCGAAGATAAGGACAAGTTTCAGAAGACTGATTATTTCTGTACTATGTACGGAGAAGAAATGTGCTCTGGCTTGTCATTTCAATAATAGAACAATTTCAGAGATGCACTCTACGAACTTGTGAATTCGGATTTGGTCGCGAGACACTTGTCCTTAATATTTAAATCACGTGGCAACTATTTCATTTTCTTTCGTTCTGAAGAGAAACAAAAGCTTTGGATGTACTTTGAAGTAAAGAAGATGAATATTTTGCTCTTTTGCGAACAAGAAAAGGATTATATTAAAAACATTTTGAACTGATGAAAATCGTTTGATTTTTTTCACAGATTGCATAACAATTTGAAACGCTAATGCATTGTACATTCGCAAGTAGTGCTAGTTTTTGCAATGTTTGTATTTGTCAAAACAGCAACAAAAATATAAGATCGATTTTATCGCCAATTTAATATATCTTAAATTATTACCGTCGTCATTTTCTTCACTTACAAAAAAAGTAATTTGAAATCACTTACGTGTGTCATAAAACAGTCCTTTCAATTGTGGCTGCCCCTATGTTTTTAAATACTGAATTTCATCGGTTTTGGAGCGAATTAGAATTTCTCAAGTTGTTCGATATGTACAAATCACATTTTTTTCGAAAATTTCAAATCGTTGGCATGATAACATGAACACATTTACTTCATTAGATTTCACATTAGTTTGCGCTAAGAAGAATCTGCACCCTCCTGCTTTGTAAGAATCTACTTTTTTCGAATAAATTAATTATTGGTGTTGTAGGTAAAGGACAAATAACTCTCATCAATTCTTGATCTTTGTGATAGATTTATTGGTATTTTATAGCAACTTTTAATAAGCAACCCAACTTGATACAATGGAGCTTGAAAATATTGCAAAACGTACCGATTTCACAGAGGTCGCCAGTCCAGTCTGATGTACACTGGCAACGACGTTGGGTACCAGACAAAAAGCACAGGCCATTATTCATGCACAGGTTCTCATTACAAGGTGCTGGAAAAGGTGTAAGAAACATTTAGATTCATTTGAGCCAAAAGCAATTCTTTGCAATTTTGGACAGGAATTCTTATACAGATTTTCAATTTATTTGGATATTGTAAATAAAGCTAATCATCGAAAGAGTAAAGCATTTGCGACATTCTATAGACCTTTATCATGCTGCCACCATTTCAGTCATGTTCCCTGTATCCAATAACAGTACTGAATGATAATGCTTTTTTTGTGCAAAAAGGAACCAGACTATTTTTCCTTCCAGCCTCGCTCTGGTTACGGTGATTTGAACAAAATCTTGATGGCCGCAACATGATAATAGCCTAAAAACATTGCTTTGAGAATGTAATTCACTTGGAAATTAAAAGACGTTGTACTTCAGAAAGTTTAGGAATTAGCATCAAATTCAATTACTTACATGTCTCGCAGTTGAGACCTGACCAGTCTTCTTCACAGTTACACAGGTAGCTAGTGAACCGGTTAACACAGGTACCAGCGACGCCACAAGGGTTACTCAAACACGGATCAAGCTCTGTGATACGGACATAAAAAAGAGAATTGATGAAACAAATCTGCCATTTTGTACATTAGAAAAAATGACAATTTTTGAGTTTGAACAGGAACATCATAAATGCACACTGAGTGGAAATAAATGTTTGTGAAATAAAAAATTGAGATTGAGAATTCTATACAGTACAGCGCAATTGAAAGTTAACCCTGAAAGGGGAAACATTTTCACACTTTTTCCCCTCTCAAGAACTGAATATTCATTACACAAAATGTGAAAACTTATCCCCTTAGTGTGAAAAAAATTTCGCACCTTTTTCACAAAAGTGGGAAAAATTTTCACACCTTTTTCACACAAGTGGGAAAAATTTTCACACCTTTTTCACACAAGTGGGAAACATTTTCACACCTTTTTCACACAAGTGGGAAACATTTTCACACCTTTTTCACACATGTGGGGAATTTTTTTCACACCTTTTTCACAGTGGGAAACATTTTCACACCTTTTTCACATTGGGAAAAATTTTCACACCTTTTTCACACAAGTGGGAAACATTTTTCACACCTTTAAAAACTGAAATTACATGTGCATGGATATGTTCTCATGGTCCTCAAAATGCGTATCTCCCAGTATGGAAAACAGGGGATCGTCAATCTAAAACAGAAATATATTCTTTCGTTTGCTGAAATTCGAAGGAGATTGCTAGAGGAAGACGGCATAAAAATTTCAGGGCATCCATTTCTAGGTTTTGGCGAAAATATGAGGTAACTGGTCAATTCGAGTCTGGCTATGGTGGCGGTCGGTAACCAGCATTGAACGCAGAACAGCTAAATTTCTTGATTCCAAAATTGTTATTTTCCTTAATATGACGTGAAAGATACCAAAAGTTGTAAATCTGATGAAGAAACACTGATTTAGGAGGGGAAAAAATACAAGACTTTTTCTGTCTTTGTACAGCAGGGCTGCGGTGGCGTCCGTACGTGGACTTGTTTGCCGAACTTGAAAGTCGCGTCGTTGTACATTTTTATCTGTTGACGACTTATAATGGTGTTTAAACTTTAACTTTCAAAACTAGTGTCCAAACGCTGGCACTTAGCTGCCGCTTCAGCCATTTCTTCTTTGTGCTTTTTTTAAACTCTCTTGTTGGACGGCATGATGATGTATCGATATTACATGTACATGTATATCACTGACTGTTTGATGGTAAACGATATCTGAATTTGAAAATTTGAAATAGTGGGAACACTGCAGTGAAAATTTTTTTCACGACACGTGTATGATTAATCAGGGCTCGAATTTCATGAAAAAAAAACACTAGACAGCAGGTCTAGTAACCGAAAAATCTTACTGGACCTGAACTATTTTTACAAGACCTGTGTCATAAACAAGTTAAAAAAAAACCAACATTTTGCACTACATGTATTTGACAGGAAGACAAATTTACGAGTCGCCCGTTTTGTGTGTGCACTTGGCTAGTTCTTTGGAAAATTAGTCTAATTCTCTTGCAGGGGAACAGCAGTCCTTCATGTTAAGAAAATCCAGGAGAGCTATAAATGCTTTTTTTTCAAATCTTTGAGGAGAGCAAATGGATTAAAATCCATGGATAAACGACGGTAAACATTGTTTTTGTTTTGTTTTGAATATAAGGATTTATTCAAGGGGCTGCTATTATTATTAGCTTTTGCATAATATCCTCAAGTGGCTTAACTTCTTTCGTTTTTGTAACTGTAAGACAAGGTAAAATTTATAATAAAAAAAATATCTAAATGGAGATTAATAAAAGGTTTGAATCCTGCTACGCTTTCATTTTTCAATACAGTTGTCAGTTGGTTCATCAATTAATTAATCTTGGAAAATGGAGTAAATAAACGGCACATAAACATGATAAAGCAACTGAATACTTGTTTTCAGATCCATTAAAAATTATATGAAAATGTTCAGCCGGAACTGTTTCCATTGCACTACCAAAGCTATACAAAAAGGGCCTCAAAAAGTGTTAACGAAAATATCTGCCGTTGATAATCTTAAAAATAATGGAAAATGCAGGTCATTTATACCATGTGCACAATGCTAGTTAGGACGAGAAACTGGCTAACAATGTCAGAACTTCGCTTGGTACGAATGTGCGATGATGCACTGTGTGTTGTGGACCGGCAGTGGGCCGGCATTGAGCTTCGTTTATCGGTATGTGATTTCGGTGAAACTCGCTGCATCGTTTCACTTCATACACCAGTAGTATTTCCTCAAAATAGATTCACGAACACGGGAAATACATACACCGACAAGAGAGATCAAGTTCTGTGAGTATAAGCTTGCAAAGATCATCTTTCTCCAACGATGTTTTCTTGGCATTTTTACGATGTCTATTCCGCGCCCTCCGGCCTGCATGCAACTGTACTGCAGTGTACATGCACGTACCGCGCGCGACTACTGCATTGACTGGTTACCGCATTTCCATCTTGCCAGTGCGTGGTGCAGTGGGAACCAGTCACTGCTGCAATAGCACGTACAGGCCCCCGTGTTTTCATACATCAAGCAGCTCTGTATGTACGTACTGTATACGTGCAATACACCACGAGGTAGGTACCGGCAGCTACATGTACTTTCATCACATCAATTTCGTAACGTGTTTGCGTCCCCTTCCGCACAATTTTCGCACATTTTTCGCACATTGATTTTGTACTCACCAATTTTTCCCTCGGCTTTCACAATTTTTTTCAGACCGCGTTCGCAGTTTTTTTCGCAACTTGTTCGCAAAGTATTCGCACCGTTTTGGCAAAACATCCGCATTCGCAAATTTTTCGCACCGCATTCGCGCCGTTTTCGCACTGCATTCGCACATTTTCACTGCGAATTCGCAAGGGGTAAAAGTCACGCTCAAAATGCGAAATCATACTGCGAATGCGAATGCGAATTTTTTTTCACAAATTTTCCCATTCCATTTCGCAGTGTTAGGTTTCAATTGCACTGTACTGTACTTACTGATTTCACAGAACTTTCCTGCATACATGGGACTGGAAAATTGGCACACGAAGCCCCCGTTGGACGTTGACAAACACACAGCGCCATTTTGACATGGCGTGCTTACACAAGCAGTTTCTATGGAATCAAACAAAAAAAAATTGATTTAGAGGTCTGATTTGGAGATTTGATTTGAAGTGTTGATTTGGAGATGTGATTTGGAGATTTGAGTTGAGAAATCGAGTTGAAGATTAGAATAAACAATTTAAAATCATGTGATTTATTCCAAGGAGATTGTATCATTTGTTTGACATTTCTGGTAAAAGTTTTCTTCTTTTTGGTTTAATTTGATTTGTTCCTTGATATTTTGTTTAATCCAACTTAGTTGTTTATTTGTTTACATTTCATTTAACATTTTGATTGATTAATTTTGTTGTTTATTTGGTTTAACTGTTTAATTTAATTACATTTTCTTTTGAATTCTATTCCTTAGATTTTCAGTGTTTTCTTCTTAGTATTTTCGCTTGTTGGGGTGACGAACGGTTTTGCTGTAGTCTTTTATAGTGGGCGTCACAACCAGTCCAACACAAGTCAATCACAAGTCAATCAACGTCAATCACACATCAATCACAAGTCCATCACAAGTCCATCACAAGTCCATCACAAGTCCATCACAAGTCCATCACAAGTCCATCACAAGTCCATCACAAGTCCATCACAAGTCCATCACAAGTCCATCACAAGTCCATCACAAGTCCATTACAAGTCCATCACAAGTCAATCACAAGTCCATCACAAGTCCAGAAGCACATACACCACCAAACAAACATGGTATACAAAAATCGCTTGCAGACTGCTGTTCCCTTTTTGTAAGTGTGAGCTGTTTTAAAATTGATCAGCTGTACAGTACAAAATATCTATGCAAATACTTGCAGAGAGAAGAAAGACAATTTTCAGATGATTTTATGAATCTTTTTATAAAATTATTTTTCTGTTTCTTACCAATTTCACAATGGGCTCCGGCGTAACCATTAGCGCAAACACACGTGTAGCCAGGCCCTTGGGGGAAGCATACGCCTCCATTATGACAAGGGTCGCTCTGACATGGAATAACTGGCGCGACATCTGTACCAGAAAAATATAAATAAATAAAAACCAGAAAATGAGGTTTCGTAAGAAGAGAATGAAACAGGTATTTTGAATATTTATTGAAAGATTCACTGTAGATGCAATTTTTGAGTTTCACTTTAAAAAACTCTAAATAATTTTGTAAAATTGCTATTTTCTTGCAAAACAATAGTTTTTCACTTTCGAATGAGACATCGAACAAAAAAATGGTCCAAGTTAATATGAAATAACTACGTAACAAATTTCAAATTATTTACGGCCTGACAAGAATTCAGTCCTCCCAAAATTTTGAAAATTCATGATGAAGACGAACAAATTTGAACTTATTCAAGAGCTCAGATAGTACATCTTAAAAAAAAAAAAAAAAAAAGGAGTAGAAAGTCACAAATTTTAAGAATTTGGATTACAAGTTCATAAAATTATCTAAGAGTTAATTCTCCAATAATTAATAGTCTCTTACAAGTTTCACAGTTGGTACCAACGTAGTTGTCTGGACAATCGCAGAGATGGCCAGCACTGCCTTGTGGGTAACAGACTCCTCCATTCTGGCAGGGGGAGGGTTCACATGGATCTGGAGGGGTAGGTGCTGTTGAAAACAATAGATCAAGATTATCATAAATTATAAGTTCCTCCATTCAGTTTAAAATATAGAATTAACCAAACAATTTTGAAAACACAAAAGCCTGAAACAAATTATTACTTATTTACCGTTTTCACAATGAACTCCAGTGAAGTCATTCACACAGGAAGAAACGTAGCTCTCTCGAACGCTGCTACGGAAACAGACTCCCCCATTCTGGCACGGGGAACTGTCACAGGGATTTTGAAGGACAAGACCTATTGATTAAAAGAGGTAATGAAAGTGTTTTTAAGAACACTTCTTGCAAAAAAAGGATTGGTATTTTTTTAAATTTTACATCTCTGGAGGTATCAAAGATAGTGTGCTGATTTAACCCTAAAGGGGACGGGTTATTTTGACCATCTCATAGCCGCCCCCCCCCCCCCCCTTCAGATCTCTGCCATCAAAAGACGAAAAATTATGAAACTTTGTACATGCATAGAATAACTTAATATAGCCATACCCAAGAAATTTTATGACTATAGGTTTAAGGGTTTTGGAATTATGACTAATTATTTATTCATATGCACCAATGGTACTTCTGCTTTATGTACACTACAAAAAGTTTCGAAGCGCAGCAAGAAACGGTTGGAATTTTATGTTTTTGGTATCGAAAGATGTGCAAGTCTCGAGGCTAACAAGTCAGGAAGCTCTGGTGGGGAACTTTTTTTGCAAGGGTATTGCGGAAAAATATAAGGGGAGGGGGCGGATTCCATGCCCCCTCCCTCGCCCCTTGGCCCTTTCAGGGTTTGATAGGCAAAGTGTTTGAAGTTGTTTGACTTACTTATTTCGCAGTGCGTTCCAGCGTAATTCTGACTGCAGAAGCATCGGTACTCCCTGTTCAGATCGTACACCTGACAAAAACCATTGTTGTGGCACGGCTGGGTGAGACACGGGTCAGCTGGAATAGAAACTGCAAAGTAAACAACAACAAAATTTTATAAACAAAAAACAAATCAGCTACTGAGCTTCTAACCACAGAATGTTGCTTAGCAAGGTTATGTGATAAGCAAAAATCTGATGGGTACCTGTCAATGTCATAAAACCATCCTGATGGGTTTTAGTCAGTCAAACCACAGTCACATATTCACAGTTGGATCTACGAATATCCATTCACAAAGAATCAATCAACCATGATGAACCGTCGAGATATGTGGAGAAGTCGACTTTCTAAGAATGCACTTCGGTTTCAGGACGGATAGCTACGACTGTCCTAAGGTTTCTCTACCAATACACCACAGTTTGTCAAGAATATGGACAGATTGGTGAAGAATATCGACGGTATTACTAAGAATAATGACTTTAAAGCCACGGTTGTCTGCAATTGAGCCACGGACTACCAAGGTTCTCCTACGAATAAAGCATACATATTCGTAGTACAACCTAAGCAGAAGCATACCTGGACATATTCGTAGAACATTCGTAGCAAATTTGTAGAGATTTCTGCCATAAATGAACTACGAATCTCCAAGAAAATGTACGAATAGCCACGAAGAGCCAGGAATAACACTACAAATTAGTACAGTTGTCCTACAGATGTCCCACGGTTGCACTACGGATTGATTCTCATGACGATTCACCACGGAAGTTTGGAACAGTTTTAAACTTCTGTGGCCTCTCCACAAATACCCAAGAAAGATGACAGATAACCACGGAGGTATTAAGGATGAATAAAGTACTCCCACGGTTTATGATGAATTTTACCATAAAACCGTGGATATCCGTAGCTCCAAACAGTGAATGTGTGACGAGGGTTTAATAACGCATTTTGCTAAGGAAATATCGTTGAAGCTTACCAAATTGGCAGTTGTCACTGGAAAAACCTTGCAGGCAGCTACAGTGATAGGCACTGCCCAGGTTGAGGCATTCAGCTTGATTCAGGCAAGGGTTGCTGAAACACGGGTCTGAAACTGCAAGGAAAAGAAACAACTTCTGGGCTAATAACAGACTATTTCATTGGACAAGGGAAATATATCAGGGGTGCTGATTGGCTGCCCGAGAAAAAGGAATCATGCTGATTGGAGAATGTTGCAAGAAAAGGGTTAGATATCTACTAAACTGGCCAATAGAAACAAGTATAATTGGTTGGACCGGCTCTATTATCAGCTTGTTCCCAATTGTCAAAGACCTAGGCAATAGAGTAAAAGACAGATTTTGGATATGGCTAGTACTTTTAGACAAGAGATTTTGGACATGGCCAATTTAGCGTTAGACAAGAGATTTTGGACATGGCCAATTTGGCTTTAGACAAGAGATTTTGGATATGGCCAATAGCTTTAGACAAGAGCTTAATTTTGACAAGAGATTTTGGACATGGCTAATAGCTTTAGACAAGGGATTTTGGACATGGTCAATTTAGCTCTAGACAAGAGATTTTGGACATGGTCAATTTAGCTCTAGACAAGAGATTTTGGACATGGCCAATTTACCCTTTAGACAAGAGATTTTGGACATGACAAATAACTTTAGACAAAAGATGTTGTACATGGCCAGCTGGGTGGTCAAAACGTGTACCAAGAAGGTAAGGGTTCAAAGTAAAAATGTGGGGACTTTGATTGGTTGATAAAGAATGCTATTTTGCTTGTATGCGGAAGATGGTGATTGGTTGAGATAAAGGTTTAAAATTTCTGATTGGTGGAGCTAAAAGTACGTACTATCCTGATTGGTTGAGAGTTTTACCTGTTTGGCAGTTGGTGCCACCGTATCCTGCTGTACACTGACACACGTACTCAGTGACTGTGTTGGTTAGACAACGACCACCGTTCTGACATGGGTAACTGGAACAAGGGTTCACAACAGCTGAAAAAAAATTACATAATAATAATAATTATAATAATGTTGTGTTCAAATAAGCGCTTTATACCAAAGGTCTCAAAGCACTTCACAATTATTACCCCTGTTTATCAGGCCGTGAGACTATTTTGTGCAGCAGCTCGATATCAACACATTCTGGTCTCTACTCTCACAGGTACCCATTTATACTCCTGGGTGGAGAGAGGCAATTTTAGTAAAGTGTCTTGCCCAAGAGCACAAGCATTCGTGCAATCTGGTCTCTACTCTCACAGGTACCCATTTATACTCCTGGGTGGAGAGAGGCAATTGAAGTAAAGTGTCTTGCCAAAGGGCACAAGCACCATGTTCCCAAGTGTTTTGATCCACACTCCGCATTTCTCCGTTACTAAATAATATGAATACTTGTGATTTGACAATTCATTGCAAGAAAACTTTGGTTGAAGTTTGTGGATAAAATACTCTTGCTTGTACTTACCCGTTTCACAACGCAGTCCTTGCCAACCTAAGGGACAGTTACAAGCGTAATCACTGGTCGCTGGGAAACAGGTACCACCGTTGAGACAAGGGTTGCTACCACATGGGTTGGCAAGATCTGATAATAATAATAATAATAATGACAAAGGGATAATACAGTGCCATACTCCCTTTAAGGCATAGGCCTATCGGATCATTTGCAAAAATAAAAAACAAAACCGCCAAAAGATCATGAATATCGTGCCTAATGGAGTACCGAAGTGTGATGTCATTTAGAACCATAAAATGTAGTGCATGTTGGTTCTCAGGCTGAATCACGGGACACTAGGTCCTGGAACAGCCCAATTGGGCTACAAAACTTTGAACAAGACGTTTATCCACACAACTATCCTTTCAAAACTGGGCGTTTTTGTGTTATTCCTGTATTATGCATACATTTGTACGAGAACAAATTTCGGGGTCCACTTTTGCGACCCCATAAATTCGAGCTGTTTGGATACTAGTTGTGATTTCATTCGTAAATGTTCGCCTTTTGCGGACGTTGAAGAAACCACTTTTTTTTGCATTGGTGATTGGTCACCATGTGCTATAGCGCTGTTCCCGAGACACACAACGTGTATCGTACACTGAGAACGACACGAAAAATGTATTCGTGCTACGTCATGTCCGATGTAAACAAGCAGGGTTTCTTCGTCTTTTCTCGGGAGGGGTAAGACATTAGGTTGGTTTCCTTTCAACCAGATGTTTAACATGGACTAAGTAAACAATCCAAAACAAAACATTTTCGGGGATTTCAGGACCTAGTGCCCCTTTAATGTTTTTTACACACATTTTGTGTGCGTGACGTATTCACATTGGTACTCCATAGGGCTCGTTCAATGAAAGCCATCTTTGTAGGAGAACTGCAATCTCGTATTTTTCGCAATCTAGCACGCATTGCGCAGTGTTGAAAATGTTTCAAACAAGCGCGCTTTTTGCTCGAAATGTGTTCAAAATATGACGCAGCCGATGCGCGTTATGCAATTTGAAGCTCAAAATGCTGATACATGTGGATGGTCTGTAGGAAATGATGTCATTTGAACGAGACCTACGGTATTGTAGAAAAATATTAGCATCTTGCAAAATCGTTGCGCCTAATTTGCTGTCATTTTTGAAAAAAATAAACAAATAATTTCCTCACCATGGTTCGGACCAAACCATCGAAAAATGAAGATGCATGGTCACAACTTTCTCAAAAAAGTGTGATTTCCACTGAGCTGAAACTTCAACAGGTTGGGTTTTGAAATTCTTCTTTGGATTTTGAGCAGTGCTATTATTGGAAACAAATAAAATGCATAAAAAGCAAATGATCAAATATGCCTTTAAAATTATGCTCATGGCACTTCATGGTGATTAAAAAACTGAACCTTAAAGCTACAGTCCATCATTTGCAACTATCCAAAAAGTAACCGACGTGATTACCACTGAAAAACATACTTGGTTGAAAGATAGTAAGGGGACTAAACTCCCTGTGAAATTATTCTTTCTGGCGAGCTGTCATTTTGAAGAAATCAACGAAAGAAGGCCTTTCCAACTGCGTCTAAACGCACCGTTGAAAATTTTTGAAAAGTAGTTCATGCTTTTTATTCGGGGAAGTGCACGCAAGCGTGGTTGCTATAATTCGTCGGATCGGTGCGCGACATCGTGTAGCTGCTATCGGCTCAGTGAGAACGTGTCTCCGACGCTGAATGCAGGCCCAATTCATAACATAATTCAGCAAAAATTGATTTGAAATATACAGCATTCACTGAGCTGAAGCTTCATCAGGTTAGTTGTTCAGCACCCTTCTTTAGATTTTGAGCACTTTTTTTTTACTTCAAACAAACAAAATGCACAAATTACAAATGACGGATAGTACCTTTAAAACAAATAACAAGAACCCTAAGGCCCCAAAAAAGTCTTCAGTTTCTGGTGTGGAGGTTGCCCCAAAAGTGGTCAGCGACGCGGCTTTTTTTCCCAGCTAATGACTGCATATGGTGCCCAACTAAATTTAATGCAAAATGTATGGGAGCCAAGAGAGGCCACATAAAACTTATACTCGATTGTAACCCCATCTAAAACACGTTAAAATTGTGCAGCAGCAGGATTCCAGTCAAACCAGTGAGTTTGGCAGTTTTGAGACATCATCTTACATTGAATTTTTTTTTAAAAATTTTGCCAACGCGCATGGCTACGGCGACGCGAGCACATACCAAAAACTGGAGCCTTTTTTTGGGGGCTCAACAGTCCTGAATCCTCCAAGCCAATTTTGATATGAATTTGCACACCCGTAGGGAATAAAAAATGCAAAGTCAAGTAGCATGACATCATTTCCTACAGACCAGCCACGTGCATCGGCATTTTGAGCGTCAACTTGCATAATGCCCAATCGGCTGCATGGTATTTCGAATACATGTTAAGCAAGAAGCACGTGTTTGGAACATTTTCAACACTGCTCAATGCGTGCTTAATTGCGTAAAATACGCGTTTACAGTTCTCCTACAGGAATGGCCATTTTTGAGAGAGACCTATCATAAAGATATAAGACAAACAGGCGTCTATAAACTAGTTATTGATCTGTGGAGATGTAAATTGGCTGCAACATTCTTGCAGGAAAAGCAAGTGGGGGACAAAAAAGCTGAAATTCAAAACAAAAAAGCTGAAATCAGCTTTAAAAGCTGAGATTTCACACCCCTGATTTAAAAAGAAAAGAGGAAATTTGTAAACTTTGCAAGAAAAACTCACCAATTTGGCAGTTGTTGCCACTGTAGCCAGTGGGGCACGTGCAGATGTAAGCCTGGGTGTTGGTAATGACTGAACAGAATCCTCCGTTGATACAAGGGTTTGTCAGACACGGGGTGGCCAAATCTGGAGACACAAAAAATCACATGATACCGCTGTGACAGGCAGAATTCTGGACCCCAAAAAGAGGTGGAGGTTGTGCAATATTTGCAAAATGTGACCTTGCCTTCAAGTATGTTCTGGGCTCCAACACTCCTGCGATTGAATACCAGATAGGCAAATTTTATGATAATCACAGAAATAAAATCAACATCATCAATAATCCCTGTAATACCTTGGATGAAAATTCACTGAAAGGAATTGTAGACAAAACAGATAAACCTTGTATTATATGTGGTGATCTCAACAGTCATGACCCCCTGTTGGGGAGCGCGAAATTAGATCATAACAGTCAAATTATTGATGATTTTCTCACTGACACCAACATGGTTTGTATTAACTCCGGAGACGGTACAAGGGTCAACACCTCCGAAGCTACACTCTCCTCCATAGACGTTACCTTCGTTTCGCCAGGCATAGCTACAAAATGCAACTGGAGAGTTCTGGACGACACCTGGAGAAGCGACCACTGCCCCGTTATAGTCAAAGTAAATCAACCTATCCGTACAAATCCTATCAACTTCACCCCAAAGTGGTCTCTTAAAAAAGCCGAGTGGACAAAATTCGAAACTGCATGTAATTGATACATCACTGAGCCCAGCGAGTTAGACAACATAAAATGAAGCTTACGAAAATTTCCCTTATAAAACCCCTTCTCCTGGTGCAATGAGGAATGTAAACAAGCTATTGCAGATAAGAAGAAAGCCTTGGAAATTCTCAGAAAATTCCGTCTTCCCTTCAACCTCCTACTATATAAGAGGGCTTGTGCTATAGACAGAAAAACAATTAAAAGCGCTAAAAGAAAAGACTAGGAGAACTTTTGTTCTGAAATAAATCCTAAAATGAACACAAAACTCATCTGGAATAAGATTAAACGAATTGAAAAAACTCGGAACACAAATAGTTTCCCTGTCCTGAATCAGAACGATACAGATGCCATCACTGACAAAGATAAGGCTGAAGCTCTTGCTGACAGTTTTACTCAAGTTAGCAGTACAAACAATTACTACCCCTCCTCTTTTGCCATCAAAAAAAGATACTGAAAACCATTTCTCCGTCAATGATAACAACGACAGTGGTATTAACTAATTAATTAATAAAGAAAGGTTTGTGGAAACACCATGTGCCAATAATTTCTCAACTAAGAGAATGGTTTTGAAAAGAACCAGAGGTATAAACTCGACGTTCCGGTCAGTATGCTCTGACCGTCTTCAGGAGAGTGTTATTAACGAACCTTTCAATACAGAAGAATTAAACCTGGCGATCGACTCCTCTAAATGTACCACCCCTGGAAAGGACGGCATCAGTAATGCCGTAATAAAACACCTCCCCATGAAAAGCCGCGATTACCTGCTCACCACCTTCAACAGAAACTGGCAAACATCTCAATGCCCAAAACAATGGAAAGAAGCCATTCTCATCCCACTCTTTTTCCCACCTTAGAGCTAAGCCACAGAGACTTTTCACTCATTACCGAACCCCATGTGTAAAAGAAATGTTGTATTCCTACGCGCAGAAGCACACACAAAGTATATCGGAGCTACACAGTGACGTTAATGGTGCAAAGGGCACACGAGTGCTGTAGGCACCAGTCTAACTTACATCAACAACAAACCAATGTCCAAACTTACCGAATAGTTGGTACTTTGCAGTTGGTGCTGGCGTACAGTATGTGGAACATCTACTGGTATAGATGATTCCAATCCACGATTGACACACGTCCCGCCATTAACACACGGTACACTCAGACAAGGGTTACATGTAATTAGCTAGGTAAATAACAAATAATTCACAAGTTACTGACAAATTTACAGTCTACAGTATAGTCTTAATTACATTCATATTTTTCTTGACAATTTTCCCCCTTTTTTTCTGGTGTATGTCATATAAGGCCTACTAAAAAGGATGTTATTTGGGGTTGTTTTTTATGGGGCGCTGTTTGTCAAATAATTATTTAGCCAACTTTAGGCATGTTTTTTTTACCATGGTTTAGCTCAATTATTAGTGCATATGGCTACAGCTGAAAAAATTTCAAAGTGACTAACTTCGAATTCCAAGTCTGCGGTTCGGCCATTGCAATGATTTCCATTTAGAAAATACATGTCCCTAGCCTGCACATAAAGTAGAAACAAATGACAACACTTACGGCACAAGTGCCAAACAAAATGGAGGGACAAAAATCAGTCTCTCTTTTAAAATGTACTTTCACTTTAGCTTTGAGAATTAGATGTGCCTATCTCAGCATGGAGCTAGCTGCTCTCAGTAATCCAAACTTTTTTTCTATAGGGCTCCCGGTTTCGAATAGGCCTATACTTTTCGCTCAGCACATGCATGAACTCTCATTTCAAGGACCTTCCTGCTCTTGTTTACCTTGCCCCATATGTTATGTCGTAAACTGCTGGCCAGTGTGTATTCCCCCTGGCACTCTCCATTGTTGCTTGACACACCCTTCGGACTTGGAAGACATCTGGTTTACCACTTAAATTACACTGGGGTCGCAGGATGGCGCTATTTAAAAAGAGTTCATACTCGTGGGTTCTGTTCGAACAGAACCCACGATCGTGGGCCTTTAAAGTTTAAGCAGCGCTGCTAAATAATTATTCGACAAATTTAGCCAATTTAAAGCATGATGTACTTACCTTGGTTTTAGCTCAATTATACGTAATCTATAGATTTGTATTCAAAACTGTTGTTTTGTTTACAACCATTACGACATAATTTTCCACTTTTCTATGGTTTACAAATAAAAAACGACGTTGTTCCATGCATGTCATGCATGTGTTCAGAACTCGCGGCCATCCTGAAAATAGCGCCACCATGTGGCCTACATGTACTAGCAGTCGAGGGAACATAGCGCCACCATGTGGTCAAATAATAAGAACAGTCGAAACTAGGGGAACACATCATGCCCGGTCACAACATGAAACGCTATGGTTTTGTAAATAATACAACACGGTGCAGGTTGATCAATGCTCAATCAAAAAAAGGTTTAGGATCAGTTACTAAAAACATTAAGCAAGGAATGCTGGTGAAAGTCCAAAGGCTCTCACATGATATGACAACTGAAGTTTTACTTTCCCATCATATAAACTCCAGTTAGGCTACTGAACTCCCAATAAAAACTCTCCGAGTAAAGATTTTGGGTCGGGTTCTCCTGTAGTGACTCAGCCGATGTCACTCAAATGGATTATTAGCAGAGAAAATTAATGGTCGCCCCTAGATGTTATCTGTACTGCTACAGGCGACTATTAATATCGCCCCTAAGAATATTGTGCTGGAATCCGCCCCCATCATCAGTAACTCTACGGACGACTGTTAATGGTAGCCCCTAGATGTCATCTGTACCTACGGGCAACTATAATGGTCGCCCCTACAGGTACACATGTTGAATTGTCATCAGTATACTTCTAGTCACCCTATAGAGGTATGGGTGTTGGAATCGTCATCTGTAGCCCCCCCCCCCCCCCCCTACCTAAGTTTATACGACATCATGTATATCTTAGAATATCTTTAGTTCTTTATATGAAGCTTTGGTGGCGGTAGAATTCTCGCCTCGCCTGCCACGCGGGACCCTGGTTCGATTCCCGGCCGATGCATGATAATATATTTTGTTATTTTTTTTTAAATTCAGGTTTGGATCGGTTTTACATTCATGTTCTTTTTTCGTTTGATTTTTTTTATCTGAAAAAAAAATATCTATGGAACCATACAAGACTAAAGAGTTTCGACCAAATAATGACTTTAAATGTATTCATATTAATGATATTCAAATTGGCCGGGTGATTTTCAGATTGATTTCAACATAAAGCTTTTGAAGATATGGAAGGGGGGAATATTAACCAGGTTTTATAGTACATGCTATTACAAAGGGGGGGGGGGAATACGCAATTAAGTTGAACCACACAAACTCAGTCAAAACATTCTGAAATTTTAATAACTTAACAGCCAACGCTGTGTTGACATAGGAACTACATCATTTTTGTACATAAATATTTATAGAATTAAATAATTTATGGTAATTACGAATACATATAATTAGAAATATATTACAATATTTACAATACAGAAGTAAATAGACATAACTTGAGAACAGAATATGCAAATTACGCAAAATGTTCCCAGTTACTAGTCAATAACATGTACTTTATCCCTGTGCCATTTTATGAAATAGAGCGAGCAGAGTATTATTTTCCTTTTAATTCGGTCACATAAACGCACACTGTAGGTCATTACAAAATGTTAAAATCAAAGATTGACAACGGAGAAAGATTTTAATTAACAGCGATAGGAACGCTTAAAATGAATTTTACAAATGAAGATGTTTCTAGATTTTCCCGGGTTATTTTAAAACATGTTGCATCGGGGAATTACAAGGTCAGGGAACCAGTCTAGAAGGCTTGTACCTGTTCATAGATGTGTCGATTACAAACAAAATGCGAACTAACTAAATATGGTAAATTCGGGGCAGTTTTTTCCAACGCTTTTTTTCCAATTGCGTAAATTGATACAAAAATAGCACTTTCCCTAAAAATGTCAGCACAGCAGATGTCATGATGTTACAGGATTATTTTTTTCCCTAACAGTCCATTAAGGTATTTCATAATAATTTGGTATTTTTGTTTTTTGATGTTTACAAAATTGTATATTCCCTTTAAGCTGTTGCCGAATGGCAACATTCCGGATATAAAAAATCTGATACGAGCCACCTTATTAAAATATAGGCCTATGTGAAGGCAATTATTTATTAGCTGGTGTGTGCTTGAGCATTTTAAGTCTTATGGAATTGTTTGAATTTTTCTTTGAAAGGAAACGTGCAGTGGAAATTCAGCTCATCTTGTTTTCATGCACATTACTATGTGTTGCAACAATACATTCAAGATCTTAATACTCGTTTTTATTGGAAGTGACAAGAAAGTGATATTTTTTCCAATTATTAGCAAATCCTAGCTTTCATCAATACATGTAAGAGGGCGCTATTTTGCTTTTGTCACACGAGGTACGTCAAAAGTGCATATGAACACTACAAAGATTCGTCACTCAAAATTACCAACAAAAAAGTTTTGAAGAAATATTGGCCTATACCAAACAAGTTGTTTAATATGATAAACAAGTAAAAATTGGAACTTACTCCAAGAAAATGAAGACAATTTTTTATATTTGTACACAAAGCTATGGAAGACACTACTGTTCCGCCTTGAATGACATCAAACATTGGCTCATTAATATGGAAATTCTCGTTGGCAGAAAAAGTAAAATGTTGAAATGTCTCCCTTTTACAGCTACAAAGGATGTGGAAATTCATAGTTACATGGCAGGAAAGCTGTTTTAAATGTATTTAAGTCATGAAAAATCCTATGAAATGTTCCCTTTAACTGAATTTGGGATTGTCTAACCATAGAGAAAGGACACAGGAGTCAACTCTAGTACTTCAAAGTGTAGTAGGATCATCGCCGCGCTCGAAAGCAACAATAGAAAGCATCTGGCGGCCGCGCGTCCATCTTACTCAGTTGCTCCCTCAGCTAATTTCTAAAATAGATATCCGCGCTCACCAGAAGAAAGAGCTTGCATTGATATATGGATAGCACCATGGTAATAAGCATGCACAGTTGTCATACATCACCAAAAATGAATGTTTTTGAAAGTGTTTGTTTGGAGTTGGCTAATTAATGTGGTCAACATAACCGAATTTTCATGACGAACAAAATGCTCTTTAACCTTCAGCGAGAAAACTTCGGAAATTTCCCACAATATCATATTTCATAATTGCTGGTTTGCTACCTAAAATTTTCGAAAGACATGATAACTTATCAGGGGAAAAAAATCAATTCATCTTCAAATAACAAGAACATATAGCGCTTTCAAGGACCAACAACTACACATCGATTACTTGAATTTATAACTCACATCTAACAACTGCGCATTTGTTTAAACCTATCTTGCCGTAAATAGGTTTTTTTTCCTTCAAAAAACAGGAAACAACGTGACCTGACTTAGTATGCAGCATATAGGCACGGATCCTACTCACAAGGATAAACGACATGTTCTGAGCTCTAGTCCAAAATGCACTGAGCGGACTTGCTTATAAGTACGATTTTTTTTGCATGACATCTAAAACGGAAATATTCATAAAACTGTAAGCAAAACTACTCCTTATGTGAGATATAATTGTTTCAAAATTGTTAACAAATAAATACTTCACGACAGATGGTATTGTGCAGTTTTGGTCGTCATAATTATGAGGTTTTCCCGGGAAACGTCAAATTTCGAGGAGAACACCGAACCCAAATTTCGTTTGTAACAGACTTTCATTAAAATGTTTTTAAGAGATGTGGTCCCGAACCGATGAACAAAAGCTACATTTCATAGTTCATTTTAAAGTTTAAGATTTTGTGCTCGGCGTTAAAAACTCATCAATACCAGGTGAAAATTAGGCGGCAAATCCATGTCACTTCGTGAAAATTAATTCTTCATATTTCATGCGCGCGAACAGCAACCCATCCAGATAGGTCACTCCGAGAAACGCAAAACTTTAATTTCTCTGTGGCTGAGAGTGACCTATATGTCGTGTTCGCATGCGCGCGGACCACTTCGCCTATTTATCTTTAGCGATTAATAAGCTCTTAAAGTAAAACACTGCAATAGCTGAAGGAAGTGAGAAATCGATTCCCATACGGGGTGCATACAAACTTGTTGAATAATTTTATAATTGTTGAACAAATTCCTTGTAAAGGTGTATTTGTTTTACATTGCTTTTCATTCTTATCTTTTGAAACAAATCGAGAAACAAAATTCTTGGACAAAACAGTTGTTTAATTCTTGCAAACAAGACTCCATGGATGAGATTGTCAATTGAAAAAATGGCTGAAAGTTTACGAAATGTCTGAAAATGCTTAATCATTTATACTAGTTATCTTCCTTTCAAATAAAAAAGTCTGACTTCAGACAAAAATCTGAAATGCATCATACCTGCACGACTCATAAGTTCAATTACACTGAATTACAGAATAGATGTGCACGTGAACTCTCATAATTTTCAAATCTTTTTGTATTTTTTTTATTCTTCAAACTTTACTTACTCCTTATTTTAGGCTATTACTCCTCAAAAAGAGCAATTTTCTGCAGATACTTTGTATAAGCCTTGCTCCAAAAAATAATTACATATCTCAATGACATACATTTTTTAAAAACATCTGCTGTACATGTATTTTCATTACCAATGCTCAAAACTAAATATAAATAGGGTGTTTAGTTGCATTATACAGGGTGTATAATAAAAAATGCAAACAAAATTCAACAGAATACCAGACGTAGAATGTGTAACCAATAAAATAATATTTGTATGGTTTGAAAGATACACCTGTCCACTTACAAACGAGACGTAAAATGTCCAAATCTGATCATTTTTGACAGATTATGAGTAAATTTCCAATAGAGGTCAAATTGACCATGGGACCAAGTTTTCAATTTTAGGCATAAGGACAAAGGTATATAGCCTAATTAATTGCCTCTGTGTGGATATTTGCCTCGTCTACAGGAAAGTGTGTTTAGCAAGTAAACACAATTCTAAACACTTTCTCGTACATTTTGTAAACATGTTTACATGCTAAACTGCTCCTAATTGTTCATATGTAGTGATTCTGCATTTTCTTTGCAACTGATTACACACTTGTGAAGGGGTACAAGTCTGCTAGACTGATTCTCTGACCTTACAATTCCCAAAATTCTAAAATTGCTCCATTTCATCTTAAGTGGGGTCAGGGAACCAGACTACAAGACATGATTGGTTTTCTTGGTTTTTCCAGCATCTACAAGCCCAAAAGTGACACAAATCAGTTGAACAATATTTGCTATTACATACACTAATCCTCCAAATACATTTATATCTGAAAATTGCAGCAAAAGCAAATGTTGTACATTCCCTTTAAAACTAAGGGCTTTTTAATTACTTGAAACATTGTTAGCAATGAATTTCCTTTATTTGTTCTTTATTTCTGTTTATTTGTTTTTAGTTTTACTTCAAATTATAGGTGTATAAATAAACTTAGTGCAAGAGCTGAAAATACCAGAGTTATCTCTTTTCATGATAAGTCTGGCATGAGTGGAGGCTGTAGATCAAAGTTGCGAACAGTGACGGCTAGGAAACACTAGCTCGATTGTGGAGTTACCCTCGCATCAATAATCTGGGGAAATCCACACACAAAAAAAGAAAAGAAAAAATTTAATCCACATTTATCAGCTATTGTTTCCTCAGTAGTGACCCATATACATAATCAGGTCATGGCTTGTGTTGAGTTACTTTTTAAATTATCTTTGTTGTAAGGTTGATCGTTTTCCCCTTACATTCCAAGGCAGACTGTGGCAGGTGGTTCATGCATTCAGTAATCAATACCTTTTCCATTAAATTTAATTTAGACGCATTGGTGGAAAGGCATTTCTTTCGAAAGGCCTTATATTTCACAGGGAGTTTAGTTCCCCTACTATCTTTCAACCAAGATATGCTTTTCAACAATAATTACATCAGTTCCTTTTTGGATTGCTGCAAATGATGGACTGTAGCTTTAACACACAGCTACCAGTAGGTAAACACTGCTGTTAAACTGATCGATCATGAGAAAATAACCTGCACACTGTAAACATGGTAAACGAAAACATTACTTATTTTAGAAGTGGGCTCCTGACCTGATGGAATTGCGTGTACATTGATTTATTCACTCAGAATTCCACTAGTACTTTTCTCTGGAGCAGTAACAGTTGTCCTGGTTTCTGCTCGTGAATATAAGTGGGACGCCATCATAAGGTACCACAGCTTCTTCAGCTGCCAGGTCCAGGCTAGCAATGAAATCAATTTGAGGAAAATGTTACTAAAAGCATTTTAAATATTGTATATCGACAATCAAGTAAAAAAAATTAAAAGCAGGAGACAAAACTTTAATTTGCAAATCTACTGGTCATGGCACTTGAGTGTGTGATCCCTAGTCTTGGGGCTATAGACGCTGTTCTTGTTTGCTACGCCGATAACCCGCCACCGCGTAACCACGGCCACCGCGAGAGGGCGCTATCACGACCAACCAATATCACCCACGAACCTGTCAGAACAACGTCTAGGGTACTTGCTATTGGTTGTGTAATGCGCACGCATCTGCCTTGCCTAATGTATGTTCAAATCAATTGCATCTGCGGAGAATGACGTCCACCCTCGCAAGTTTCCATCGATACAATTCCAAAGTTCTGACTCCATGACTATGCTTGCACAGGGGTGCACTGTGCTTATATAGCATGTTTTGTTTCATTATTTACTTCCTCTGGGGGTGGGGTTGCATTTTTTTCAGACCAGTTTCATAGGGTGATCAGGGTTATGATGTCCAGGTATAAAACTCTTTCCGTCACCTTTACTAGGAAGCTTACCTCTGTAGCTGGACTAATCCCATCTGGGATGAAATAGGTCTTATCTTTATGAATGTTATATTTCATCCCAGCAGTCCTCTCGAAACAGTGCTTGATCTCCAGCGCGTGTGGTGTACTGTGTCCAACCCCTATTCGCATCGACTGCGTTCCATAATTCCGACTCCATGGTTGTGCATACACGCGGCGCACTGTGCTTATATAGCATGTTCTGTATCATTAAAAACACAAGCAAATTTGATTCAATCAGTCAGAATGTGACCAGGAAATGCCCCAAATTGCACTTCAGGGCAGTTTGATGCTAATTCAGACCAGGCGGTCACAATTTGGTAAAACAATATCAGATTTAATAAGCAACCTGACTAATCCAGTGTTGTCGGACTGGACGTCACAATTTTGAGGATGACCACAATGGCGATATCGATTGGTTAGTCTGGTTTGGGTTGATTGCATTCTCTTATTAATATTGAGGCAGAAACAAGGTTATTCTCAGAGACCCGTGAGCATTGGTAGGGTAAAAAAAAACACAAAATGTCAGAACGGCAAAGTTTACTTAAAATAAAACTTAGGCGATTTTTGCAGAATTACACCAAAAAAAAGGTATTTATGAATGGAAAAGCTATTGCTGTGCCGAATCAGGAAAGCTTCCAACCAGGAGTTACTATAATATCATGAAGTGGAAACGAGGTTGAAAAAAAGTAAGCCTTGGGGACAAGGTTGAAAGAGTACAATGCAATGTGATAGAACACCTTTTAATCACCTTGTTCTCGATGAATTGAATGACCTCCTTCATGATAATAGCGGCTGAACATCCCTTCTTCCCTGATTGGAGATCACCCTATGGACCAATCAATAAAAACACTAAGCGATTAGCAATCAAATCAACAAATCAACCATTTTCCTGGTTCAATGACGTAAAAATGCCCACATACGTATATTACATCGTAGTTTAATTTGAGGTTGAGAGTTTAAAAGTGCTTGCCCGGCCCTGTGATCGTCAAAACAATGGAATGTTTTTTTCTCAAAACAAATCTTCAATTTTTTGTTGTTGCTCAAAGTCCCTTCTCATGTCAAGTGTGGCGTCTGGAAACAATACCCAATCTCTCAGTCTGCTCTGTGTAATGGGCTTCGACGACGCCATTATTATTTTTGGGCAAGCTCCATACCAGGAACCGGAATCTTTTCTGTTTTTGTCCTGAAGTAAGTAGGGTTAAGTTCATGTAAAAACGTGGGTTCTTCTTTTTGAACCAGCCTGTATAGGTTTGAAGGAAAGGTTAATTCAATACAGTTTCACAACTTAATCATGATCCTAGTCATCTTACCGTGCAGTTGTGGGATTGTGCTCCGAGTTACTGGGAAATGGATTGCATATATCCATTTATGCATATCCTCTTTTCCCACTTTGGCAGCACACCCGTTTTGGAGACCTCCCGAATCTCCCTGCTAACTCTCCGTTGCTGAATGGGACAGCGTCGACATCCTGTATCAACCTTTTTTCCATAATGAGACAGATAAAAAAACTGGTTATTTACTCCCAAAAAGCCAAGATGAATACACAATGATAGTCAGGAGACAAAGATGTACCTAATATCTATTAATGACGAGGCCGGCCTTTTTGATAAATGTTGTAGGAGTTTAGGATTTTTTAAATGCAATTGCTTGATTGTCACTACTTTGAAAGAGTGTTCACAACGTAGGTAAAAGTATTAGGTTCCCACTTGCCTCTCTCCAACTAAAATGTATGGGTGGGGACCAATATAATTATGTTATATTGGAGGGAATGGGGAGGGGCAAGTAAGAGGGTTTCCATTCTCTTAATATAAGAATTATTTTTCACTGGATATTTGCACAAACATAAGTCAACATTATATTTTTAATAAATCATACTTCCATTTGTGTGAGTGAATATTAGACTTAGTTCTCGGTATCTTTGCATTTTGAGTTTATGCTGGTTTCGTCTTTTCTCATAGGGCGTCTTGTGGCGCACCTTATTTTTCTTCTTTTTCTCGGCTGTCATGCTGAAATGACACAGAATACTTGTTTTTACAACTTTCAACAACTGTAGTACACAATATCTTCAATGACAATTCACGCACACAACATGATTTATATTTAAACAAGTCAGGTGTGTTTACAAACACAAATGCCCCGCAACGGTGACAGTTCCCATGACATAACACCACTCTTTTAACATCAACTTACATGTACCTTGGTCACATGGAACATTCATTGACAGCATTAGTGTCTTCTGTAGGTTTTATATGAATTAATCCCTAATCCCTATAATCTCAGAATAAATACATGATTTCTATTGTTTTAGCCACTGTGAACTTGACCCTTAGGCCTTTTGGCCCCAAATGCAATAGGCTTCTTAGGATTGCCAAGAACAATCCACAAACCAAATTTGAAGTTCACATGTAAAGTATTTTTCAAGTTATCGCGCTGACAAGATTTCTATTGTTTTAGCCACTGTGAACTTGACCTTAGGCCTTTTGGCCCCAAATGCAAAAGGCTTCTTAGGATTGCCAAAAACAATCCACAAACCAAATTTGAAGTTCATATGTTAAGTATTTCTCAAGTTATCGCGCTGACAAGATTTCTATTGTTTTAGCCACTGTGAACTTGACCTTTGGCCTTTTGGCCCCAAATGCAAAAGGCTTCTTAGGATTACCAAGAACAATCCACAAACCAAATTTGAAGTTCATATGTTAAGTATTTCTCAAGTTATCGCGCTGACAAGATTTGTCCGGACACACACACACACCCACCCACCCACACACCCACCCATACTTGTTTCACATGACTAGTGTGGACTTTCCATTGCTTTCGTGTAGTTAAGAAAAACCAGTGAAAAAAACTCATTTTTCTCAAACTGTGAAAACTCTTTCAACCCAATTTTTTTTCTATGATTCCCTTTAGTGTTTCTCTTCATTCTGCTACAGATAAACCTAACCCAAAAATGCCTCTAAACCTGTTTTCCAGAAATGGGGAAACACTGTGTGGACGTGGGGTAAGTCCACACAACGTCGGTGCTACCTACATTATGTGGACGTCTTTTGTTCGGAAGTCCACACTGCGTATGTAAGACAAACTCACCCACACACCCACCCACACACCCACCCACACACCCACCCACGGAAGGACAAGGCGGAAACAGTATGCCCCTTCGGCTTCGCCGCGGGGCATAAAAAAAACACTTTTGAATTATAAATAATGGGCCTTTAAAATGGTTAGTTTGTTTTCTTCTCTTTTTTTGGCTTCTTTGGCCTCTTTCCCTTCTTTAGAGGCATAGTCATTGTGTTCTGACTGTTACGAGAAACAAGGAAATGACACAACATACTTGTTTTTACATAAGTCATGAATAATTCAGAATACTTCCATTTGTGTGAGCGAATAGATATGAAGAATAGTATACTTACTTCCCTATACCGCCACACGGCTAGTTTGTTTTCTCTTTTTTGTTTCGTAGGGCTTCCTCTTCCTCTTTCTCCTCTCCTTCCAAACTCCAGATGGAGACATTTTGCTGTTTCGTCCATGGTTATGCATGATGCCTGTACACAGGCAGATCCGTCAGATTTAGTAATCCGTCAGATTACTGGGAAGTTTACCTCTTCTAGCTGGATTAATCCCATCCATCCGATTCCACAGTTCTGACTCCATGGCTCAGTCCAGGCGATCTCTTTCACTCGGACCTACTAGGAAACAAAAAAGGCGAAAAGGCATGAAAATCTTGCATTAACGATTGTGCGTTTTGAGCCTGGCCGCCATGATCCCAAGCGAAAATGATATGAGCTGAAAATTGACCAAAATAAGTTTTGCTATTTGTTAATTTGGCCAATTTGCAGCATACATGTGACTTTCACGAGAGACCGAGGCAAAGGCTAATATGAACAATCATTTCATGCAAGGCTTTCATGCAAGGCGGCCAGAGTTTATTGTGTACGCTCACTTGTTTGAATTAATGCTGACTTTGTCAGGCGAAGGATAAATCTCAGTGACTGATATCTCATATGTTGTGTCCACAACAAAGACACTGTCTAAGACTGCAGACATCAGACAGAGGAAAAGATAATTTGGGGTCTTTGGGGAACATGTTTAATACGTAAATTTGATAAGCAGCATTTAAGGGAAAGGCTACTTTAACAAACTTCAGTTAAAAGTTTAGTTTGTTCTGGCCGGATATTCAGATCATGGTTCAGTCCTTCCCGAGTTGTGGTCATGGAACTTGGGTGTGTCCTCCCGCGAGTGATGGTCATTTACTTTGTCTTTCATCCACAAAATGAACTCAATGATGCATACCACTAGCATATATTCTAGGCGACTATTGAATAATACATATATGTTCATGTCCTACACCATTCACTGCGTGCTACATATGCATTTACATGTACAATGTCTCAACAAGATCAGTCCATACTTAACTCAGTATATTTGATAAACGGCAAGGGAAATGCATCTTTGCAAAGCCTAACAAACTTAGGCAAAACAAGCTATATTTGATTGGTTTGTCCAGTCGAACTCAACAGAATGTAAGGCCTTATTGTTTGTTTTAGGGAAAAAAAATAAACAAAATTGACTTTTTCTGCTGAGAATGTTTTCATGTCTACCATGTCTTCGGCTCGGGTCATTATCAGCCCCTAGCTGGTTTTAAACGTAGCCTACTTATTTAAAACTGGCCAATCACATATTTATTTCCCATTCATAAATACCTCAGACAGTTTAGCTATTCCTATTGGTCGAGAGCCCGTCACGTGGCCGGTATTAAACGGATGATAAAGACATGGCTAGCTGGTCTTAAACACTTTTCCAGTGTCACAATAAAATGTGGACTCCTAAAAATCCAGTGCCTCTTACCGTTTCATTGGTTGAACGTTCACAATCCTCACGTAGGCATGCGCAACACTACAAGCGAGTCAGAATTTTATAGTTCTAAATTCAAAACGCAACGCCCCAGGTGCGTTCTGCGTGACATCGCGCAGAACATGTTACGCGCGCGTCAATCTCCATAAAAGGGTTGTTTACATCTTACTCGCCAGCTGAACACTCCATTATTTTGCTAGAGGGATGTTTCAAAAAGCATGAAGTGAACTTGTTGAACAAAATCGGGATTTTTTGAACGAATTATTTGATATTTTTTTACAGATAAGGTATTTATGAATGGGAATAAATATGTGCTCGGTCGGTATTTATCACTCTGTTTAATACCGCTTAGAGTCTGGGTGCTGATAATTACCCTCGCCTCCGGCTCGGGTAATTATCAGCACCCAGACTCTAAGCGGTATTAAACAGAGTGATAAAAACCTCCGGAGCACACATTTATTCCCTTATTCATAAATACCTTTTTTGTGTAATTCAGCAAAAATCGCCAAAGACATTTTATTGATGATTTTATTTTTGTTGATGTGATCTTGCTAAATGTGTCCAGGCGACACACTTGACACAAAAAAGGGACTTTGAGCAGTACCTCTATTGAGAGGTATGCATGTTTGTGTGGTCATAAATCATCCAAAGAGAATCAACGTATAAAAAAATAAAATGAGGAAAGGAAAGGAAATAAAATTCAGTACACACAGAAAAGAGATATTTCACTCCAGCATATGGAGTGAGTCCTGCAAGGAGAGGTAAGCTACTTAAGTTCAACTTTTTCATAATAGCAAGCAGAAGCTATCGGCCAATGTCCGTGCCTGTACTTTTTCAAGATCATGGCTGCCTGTAGCTTGCAAGGATGGGTCTGCTGTATGTAAAGGAATAACTGCACCAATTCCAAGCGTAGCAGTTTGCTGAAAAGGGATCAGACCTTTGAAGATTTAAGATTGATGTATTTAACCATGATTTTTTATAGAAATGGAAAATTAATTGAAATTTAAATTTGAACAATAATTTTGCTTTTGGATTTGAGTGATTGCATCTGTTTATTAAATAGCTTAGTGAATCTGATGGCAAGAGTTACATACCTGGACATCGCTAACCCTGTTCACCCTATGAAACTGGTCTGAAAAAATGCAATCCCGCTCCACGAAGAAGTAATTAATGATACAGAACATGCTATATAAGCACAGTGCGCCGCGTGTACGCATAACCATGGAGTCGGAATTGTGGAACCCAGTAAATGATAATAGTGGATGGACACTGTACACCGGGGACGCACTGGAAATCAAGAACTGTTTCGAGAGGACTGCTGGGATGAAATATAACATTCATAAGGATAAGACCTATTTCATCCCAGATGGGATTAGTCCAGCTACAAGAGGTAAGCTTCCTATTAAAGCTGACGGAAAGAGTTTTATACCTGGACATCATAACCCTGATCACCCTATGAAACTGGTCTGAAATAAATGCAACCCCACCCCCAGAGGAAGTAGTTAATGATACAAAACATGCTATATAAGCACAGTGCACCCCTGTGCAAGCATAGTCATGGAGTCGGAACTTTGGAATTGTATCGATGGAAACTTGCGAGGGTGGACGTCATTCTCCGCAGATGCAATTGATTTGAAAAACGATTTTGAGAGGAGAACGGGAATCAAGTTTTATAGACACAAGGAAAAGGTGTATTTTACCCCAAATGGGGTTAGCCCAGCTACAAGAGGTAAGCTTCCTAGTAAATCCGACAGAAAGAGTTACATACCTGGACATCACTAACCCTGTTCACCCTATGAAAGTGGTCTGAAAAATTATTGTACAACTTTAATTTTGATGTTGTAATGTGAATTATGTGATGTGTGTATAACTAATTTCATGGAGTTTGATTGTTTGGAACTGTGGAAATGGTGAATGAATAGAAATTGAGTAGATTTGCAAATTAAAGTTTTGTCGTCTGCTTTTAATTTATTTTGCTTGATTCAGAAGTCAGAACTTTTGAATATGTCGATGCAAATAGATTGTAAGGGTGGACGTCTTTCACGACCGATGCTCTAGATATCAAAAAAGATTTCAAGAGAAGAGGTGGAATAAAATTTCATGTAGAGAAGGAAAAGATTTATTTTACCCCAGATGGGATTATAGTCCAGCTACTGTACAAGAGGTTGATGCAAATACACCATGCAGTCAGAATTATGGAACGCAGTCGATGCG